GTGCACCCGCCGCGCGTGGAGCAGCTCCTGGCCCTGTGCGGCGGCGCCTTCTCGCGGCAGCAGCTCTGCAACCTGGAGCGCATCGTGCTGCACAAGCTGAGCTTCAGCCTGGGCGCGCCCACCCTCAGCTTCTTCCTGGAGCACTTCACGCACGCGCGCGTGGACGCCGGGCAGGCCCCCGTCTCCCACGCGCTGGAGGCACAGGCGCTGGCGCGCGCCGTGGCCGAGCTGAGCCTGGCCGACTACGCCTTCAGCAGCTACGCCCCTTCCCTGCTTGCCATCTGCTGCCTGGCGCTGGCTGACCGGCTGCTCGGGCTCCCGCGCCCCGTGGACCTGCGCCTGGGCGGGCACCCCGAGCCCGAGCTGCAGGACTGCCTGGCGCAGCTGCGGCTCCTTGTGGCCATCAATGGCGCGCCCCTGGCCCACATGCTGCGCCTCCAGGCCTGGGGCGAGAGCAGCCTGTCCCCGAGCCCCAGCTGAGCTGGGAATGAGGTCGCCCTTGGCCTCCTGTGCCCTGGCCTGGCGGGCGGCCGCTGCCTCTGCTTTGAGGGCGAGCATGCAGCGTTGGCCCACGGAGCGTGGGTCTGTAAATAGTGTAGGATCGTCATGGTTGTGTCTGGTTGTTTATTTATTTTACTGAGCGCCCGGGAGAGCGCCTTTCTCCAATAAACAGGCTGTCTGGCCACTGTCTCTGTCCTGGTTTGTCTGAATGTCCCTCTTACACGTGCTTGTCTCAGGAGGATGGTGAAGGCCTGGGCAACAGGCAGCAATCTGGGTTCCCCCCCCTCCAGCTCCACTCCAGGTGGCATGTCTGTACCAGAGCCCAGGTCAGCCTGGGGTGGCTCGGTTGGTTGGAGCGTCCCCCATACACCACATGCTGGCCGGTTCCAGTCAGGGGTCAGGGCACGTACCTGGGTCGCAGTTCCTTGTGCGGCAACCTCTGGCTGTTTCTCTCTCACGTTGATGTTTCCCCCTCCCTTCCTCTCTCAAAAATCAATAAGAACCCCACCAGGTACCAGAGGTCCAAATGACCTGGTTCCGGTTATAAGGTGAGTCAGTCAATGGTAGGCAGAGACCCTGTGATTTCCATCCCCCCCCCCTCCTGTCACAGAACGAGGGTGGCTCACCCAGGGGTGCAGAGGGTGTGGTGGGGTGTACTGCAGACTAGAGCCTACAGCTGCCCATGCTTCGGAGAAGGGGAGGGTGCACATGCTGGTGCCCGTCTGGGAAGCCTTGGGACTGGACAGGCCCACGCACAGGGCAGGGAGCGCTCCCCGCCCTCACAGGTGCCAGAAATCAGGGCTTTGCAGGGCAGTAATGGCCACCACAAACCCAGCCCTGCTGCCTGCAACCAGGCTTTTCTCACACCTGCTATGCATGAGCCCAGGTTAACTGGCATCATGGTAACCCTGGTAACCATGGCTACCACTGGGCGCTTAGGGTCAGGCACTGTGCTCAGCATTCCTATTGCAGCCCAATCCCATGAGGCAGCGGCTCCTTTCTCGTTTTCAGAGAAGGACTCTGGCTGCAGAGGGAGGGGTGAGCAGTGGGGCAGGTGGGGAGGAGGCAGGTGATCTGCCTCCAGGCCCCCTTAGCCGCTAGCCCAGCTCCCCACGCACAGGCTGCAGTGGGCGTGGCTGCACCCCTCTAACAGGCTGTTTTTTTATTTTTTAAAAATTCTTTGCCGAAACCGGTTTGGCTCAGTGGATAGAGCGTCGGCCTGCGGACTGAGGGGTCCCAGGTTCGATTCCGGTCAAGGGCATGTACCTGGGTTGCGGGCACATCCCCAGTGGGAGATGTGCAGGAGGCGGCTGATCGATGTTTCTCTCCCATCGATGTTTCTGACTCGCTCTCTCCCTTCCTCTCTGTAAAAAAATCAATAAAATATATTAAAAAAATTCTTTATTAAGGTATTACAAATGTGTCCTCATCCCCCCTATTAAACCCCCATCCTCCCCCACACACACACTCATGCTCTCCGGCTGCTTAAATCCTACGTGAGGTGGTTGTGAGGCAGTGGGTATAAAGTGCCAGTTACACAAGTGGGCTCTGGGGTCAGTTTGCTGGGTGACCTTAAGCAAGTCTCATCACTGTGTCTCAGTATCTTCTGTAAAAAGGGGGAAACAGTAGCGCTGTCTGCAGGGCGGAGGCCTGCGGTGAATGAGACGGCCCAGGCGAACCCCAGCAGGGGCCCAGCAGGTGGCAAGTCTCCGAGGAGGCTGGGGGCAGCCCTCACAGTGGACGGAGGGGATCTTGGAGACAGAAACAGCGATAAAGCAGGTGCAGGAAAACCTGATCACCCGGAGGTGAACATACTGTTGTTTGTGATAGTTTATTCCCATTTTCTTTCTGGTTGAAAAAGACTTTCTATTTCATTTAGAGGAAGTCTAAATGCATGATCAATATGCACAAATAAAATGCAAACAAACTCAAAGCAAAGTTAGTCTCCTTGCACTTCTCTTCACCAGGCCCCCAAGCACTCCCCAGTCGGGACCCCTCGCCCTGAGCCTCGGAGCACCCCCCCTCCTGATGAGCCCCTTCACCAGGCTCTGCGGGGGGGGGGGGGGGCCCTCCTTGGCTGGGGAGAGGGAAGTGGTGATCCCACGCTGACTGAGGAGAGGCTGGTCTGTGACATTAAGAAGCAGATGGATAAAGTCATATCATCTCCAAATTCCAAAGCGCCCGCCTCAGCCCGGCGGGAGGGGGGTGGCGGAGGGAACAGGCTCTCGGTGTGACGGGGAGGAGCTGTCCGCGCAGCGTTACTCCACCACGAAGCCAAGGTCTGTGTGATCTGGTTCCAGAACCCTCCAGGCGGGGACTCAGGTTGTCACCTCTTCAGGTCCTGTTGCCACAGGTTCCCTTAAACCAGCGGCCGCCATCCTTTCGGACCTCAGGGACCACTAGTGGCCCGCGGACCACCGGTTGGCGACCGCTGCTCTAGGGTACGGTCCATGCACAACGCCCATATTTTTCTGCCCCGATTTGGAACTCACTGGTGGGAAACGACCCTGTTTTGGAAAGTCAGTGATGGTCTCCATGTGTAGAGATCACCCTGAAACTTAGCTAAGAGCCCCCCTACTTTGCAGGCTTGGAAGTTGGAGCGAGGAGGGGAGCAGGGATGGGCTGGCCAGTGGCTGGCTGCTCAGGAGACAGAGCCTGGACCAGGCTGTGGGAGGCTGAGGCGCAGCTGGAAGGCTCCTAAGACAACAACATGAATCCATCCCGCCAAGCACCAGTCACATGACACAACTTCACAGCAACACTCCTGAAGTCAGCCATGTTTTCCCTAAACAACTGGCTCATGGACCTGGTGGAGCCTGGTTCTGATCCCCAGGCGCTGACCCCAAAGGCAGGGCTGGTCCCCAGGGACATCACCCTGACTCCAGCTGACTGGCCTCCCCAGCTGGGTGCCCCCACCCACAGAGGGACCAGCGTCTTTAAGTCTATCCCAGCTCTGCCTGGGCTACTCTCCATCCTGCTGGGGGTCCTGTTATTACTCTCCATCCCGCTAGGCCAGTGGTCGGCAAACTCATTAGTCAACAGAGCCAAATATCAACAGTACAACGATTGAAATTTCTTTTAAGAGCCAAATTTTTTAATCTTAAACTATATAGGTAGGTACATTGTTATTAACTTAATTAGGGGACTCCTAAGCTGGCCTTTGCTAAAAACGTCCTCAATTCACTGAGGTCGACCCCTTCCAACTCTCCCATCCACACTCGTCTTGTATACTTGTTTCCTATCTTTTGTCACCCGCGGGCGATTTGCGGAGGCGACTAGCACTAACCATTGCACAATGAGACTGCTGACTGACTGGCTCACTCAACTCGCCCATGCCTCCCCCCCCCCCTGTCTCCCGACGCCCAACCGACACCCCCCACTTCTAAGGCCACTTCTTCAAAATAGACTCGCCCAGGCCGAAAACCAACTCTTGCGCATGGGCCAGGAAGTTTCAATCGCACTGTACTTACACGCCTGCACGTGGTATTTTGTGGAAGAGCCACACTCAAGGGGCCAAAGAGCCGCATGTGGCTCGCTAGCCACGCTAGGCCCTAATAACAGGGGTCCTGTTTATTAATCCAGGTAACAGGTGCAAATAAAGAGGATAGTTCACTGTCAAGACTACCAGGTGTAAGACACAAGGTGCCCAACAGGAGGCAGTTGTTCAAATTAGATGCATAGAGTGGTCCCGAGAGAGCCCCTCACCCAAGGACCTGGAGATGCGGGTGGGGGGGGGGGTGGCCAAGGGCTGCAGCGGAGCCCCTGGAGCCTGGTTGGGCGGGAGGGGCAGAGGCTGCCCGCAGAGGCGTTTTCTGAAACTGGAGAATGTGTAGGTGTCACTTTTCTATTATTGACCCCCCTTCAAAGGTTGTGCTCAGGCGCTGCTGCCAGGAAAGTCGGGGCCAGGGGTGCGGGGCCAGGGAGTGCGGGTGGGGCCCTAAGCTTCTGACCAGTTCCCCAGTGTGAGCGCACGTCGAGGCCTGAGCGCTCCCTCCGGATCCTGGGGGAGGGGCTGCTGTGATGGGCGAGCTCCCGCTGGGGTCCCATCTCCCACAAACCCTGCAGCGGGGCCCCGCCTCCGGAGACCGCGTTTAGGTCCCGCTCCGCGGCCGGTGGGGAGAACACGGGAAAGAGCCCTCGCGTGTCACCTGCCGCCGGCGGGAAGGCGGCGCGCGCGCCGGGAACCCTGCCTCCCGCCTCCCTTTGGCGCGGCCTGGAGGCGGCGGCGCCAACACTCGCCAAAAGGGCGCTGGCGGGCGCGGGCCCCGCGCTCGCGGTCCCGGGGGAAGCCGTCGCCGGGTCGGGTTTAACGCCTCCGCCCGCGGCAGATTGTCCGGGGCTGACGGCGCCACCTCCGGCGCGAGCCGCCCCTCCCGCGCGGGGTCCTCCCTCCCCTCCCTCCCCCGCACCTCCGTCCCCCGGCTCCACCCGGCCGCGCGGGACCTGCAGAGCCAGCGGAGCGCGGGGTGCGGAGCGCGGGGTGCGGGCCGGCCGGCGGGATGCAGGCGCGCGAGGGAGCCGCGGCGGGACGCCGGGCCTTCGGCAGCATCTGCCCCAACCGGATGCAGGAGCTGCGCGGCCGGGCCCTCGCCAAGCCCGGGCGGCCGGAGAGGAAGGTGGGCCGGGCGGGCGGGTCCCCAGGCCCCGGGCTGCGTGGCCGGCCCGCGCTCACCGTCCCTGTGCCCGCCTAGCTCGTCCCTCCGCGGCAGTTCTTCGCCGGCGGCGGCGGCCCGGTGCCCGTGTACGAGGACCCCCCGGGCGCCGAGCCCGCGGCGCTGCCCGGTGAGCCCGTCGCCCCCGCCCCGGGGGCTCCCCTGCTGGGCGGCGGGCGCGCGCGGCGGGGAGGAGCTGCGTCCCGGGTCCGCCTCCCGGCGCGGCTCACGGTCCGCCCGCGCGTCCCGGTCCCGTGCAGCCTTCACCACCATCGACCTGCAGGACCTCGCCGACTGCTCGTTCCTCCGGCCCGACGCGCCGCCTGCCGGGGACTCGGCCGCCTCGCAGGTACCTCCCTCCCGAGCGGGGCCCCTCGCCGCCCGCGGCGCCCAAACTACAGGTTCGCTCCCGCACCGGCCCTTGCGGGGGAAGCGCAGGCCCGTCTGGCCAGCGGGGGAGGGGGCGCGGGCCGGACTCTGCGCCTCGGGGGTCGGAACGCCCGTCCTCCCGATGCGCCTCCACGGCCGGCCGTTCTCAGAGCCGCGCTGGCTCCGGCAGGGCTCCCCGAGGGCAGGGCTCCCCAGGGCTCCTGCTCCAGACGCGCCTCGGGTCTCTGTGCTTCCTCCATCCTCCCCTGGAGCTGCCACAGAGGAGGGGGTGACCGATCCCCGAGGGGCCGGGCGGGAGGGGAGCACAGTGCCTCGCTGGGCGTCTGACACGCCGCCCCCACCCCGCGGTCCCCTGCGGCCTCCGGTGAACCATCTCATTCCCCGAATCCAAGGAGCGTGGAGGGAGGAGCGCGGGGGATGGAGCTCGGGAGGGAGATGGGAGGGAGTTTATCGTAGTTGGAAGCGGGGGAGGAACCGAAGACTCGGAGACTCTGCAGAGGCTGCCGGGGGCAGTTGGGAGCTTCTGGAATATTTCCTCCCCATAAAGGCTCGCGTTACCTACCCACAGGGGACAAAGAGGCGTTTGACTTTTTTCTTTTACCCCCAAAACCTGTCTTCTATTTCCATCCCGCGTTGCTGCTCCCCAGGGCTGACACTGCCCCGCCCCGGCCCTGCCCTGGCGGAGGCGGCAGCCTGCTCCCCTGGGATAGGCCGCGCCAGGAGCCCGCAGGCCCGGCTGCAGGCAGCGCCGGGTGCCAAGCCAGCTTCCCGCACCAGGGGCCCGTGGGCAGGCCCAGCACAGGACTCTCCCGAAGACAGGACGGCCCACAACTGGGGCAGGTGGTGGAGCAGAGCTCCCAGGCCTCCGCGGAGGGACAGAGCCCGGGGCCTGGGTGTGGGTGCCCCTGAGAACAGAGGTTGCCCAGGCAGAAGGGGAGAGTGGGCTGGCCCCGCGGAGGCCAGTCCCCGGTTCTTTTGAGATCAAGATGCTCAAACAAGGAAAGACAGTCTGGGCTCCTTTCCTCTGACCCGAGCGACACAGCCCTCCCTCCAGGTGTTTACTTTGCGGGTAGCAGGAGCCCAGCGGGCTCCCCTGGATCTGTGCCCCCAGAGAGAGCTTCACACTTGATGTCATGTCCTGTGTCCGTCTGTGTGTGTGTGTTGGGGGGGGGGGTGCTGTTGTACGTGGAGAAATGCCAGGTTTTATCTCATTGGGGAGCTAGGACTCAACATTTGAGGGCAGAGCTCACACCGATGGCCCAGGAGGTCCAGCACTTTTCCTGGGGAAGACGGAGCTGACGCAAAGGGGAGGGACCCGAGGGGAAGGTCCCCTGGGAGACGCTGGCCAGTCCAGGCCCCCTCACACTTCCCAGGCCGCCTCCTCCCCTCCTGCTGGGGGAGGTGCACAGAGACCGGTGCTGAGTGCTGGAGGCCTGCATGGGTCACACCTGGACACGCAGCGGAAGCATCTCCTGTCCCCCGCCCCAACCCCCCCTCCTGTTAGCCTCCAGGCTTCTGCGGTCAGGACTTGTCAATGGGCTTTGTTCCCCTCCTCCCTGCGGAGCCTGGCTCTGGTTCCGCCTGCAAAGTCGGGGAGGAGTAAGTTCCTCTTTTCACAAACTCCCTGATGGCGCCACGAAGGGCTGTAGGGAGACCACGCCCAAGTAAAGGAACCTGTCGGTCAGCCACATGGGTCAGGCAACCGGGCGTCCGCCACACCAGCCCCCTGCTTCCCGGCCGCCTGCGCCAGGCTGCCCTTAGGACGCCGAGGCTGGGGGTGCGAAGGGAGGAGGACCGAGGCGCCCGCCTCCCACGTGGCGGCAGCGCAGCTCTCAGGGCCTCCCCCCCTGCATCGCGGAGCCGGCACGTCCCCGCGTTTCCCACGTCGCGCGAGGAGTTTTATCAAGTCCAATGCTCGGATTAAGGTGACGGGGAGGTGCCGGGCCCCTTCCAGCCCGCGCCCCGCGCACAGCAGGAGCCACGGGGAGAGCAGTTCAAACGCTGGGGCGCATCGCCTCTGGGGGAGGCAACCCCGACTTTTCAGGACAGGAAAGCGGCCGGGCTCCGCGGCATCTCCGGCGCCCACGTCCCAGCGCCCCTCCCCCTCCCTTTACGGGGCTGGGTCTGGCTGCGACCGAGCCTCGGCGGGAAACAGGGCTCGAGTCACGGCCCGTGAGACCCCCGGTGCTGGCTGTCGGGTGCGGCCGCGGGACTGGAGCGCGGCCCCCAGGCGGGTCCCGGGTGAGTCCGCGCGGAAGTTCCCAGGCGCGGGGAGCGCGCAGGCCGCTGATTGGCTGGCGGCCGGCCAATGAGGGCGCGCGGACGGGCGGGGCGGGGCCGCTGCTCTGAGCGCGGAGGGACCGACCGGACTCAGACGCTCGCTGTGCGCGCCCTTCGGCCCCTTGCGGGCGGTCCCCGCTCCCCGCTCCCCGCTCCCCGCTCCCCGCTCCCCGCTCCCCGCTCCCCGCTCCCCGCCCCCCGCTCCCCGCCCCCCGCCCCCCGCCATGGCGGTGCAGGCCTGCTGGGCCCTGCGCCTCGGGTCGGGCTTTGGTTTTCAAATGGGAGCGAGGGCGGGCAGATACCCGCGGGCCGGGAGGACAGCGGCGGTGCTCCACGCCCGCCTTCGTGACACGGACTCCCGCCTCCGCTTTATTGCAGAGCCATGGCCCGCAGGCGGCGGACTGGGACCTGCGGGACTTCAGGGCGACGGTGGACGAGCTCATCGAAGGCATGTGGCGTCTCGGGCATTTCGATAGGTGGGGGGTCCCGGGGTCCCGACCCGTCCAGCCTTGTGCAGACATTGGTCCGGAGGTGGCGACCCCAGCGCACACAGGGCCGGGCTCCGGGGCGCTGGGGGCCGCAGCCTTGCCACGGAGACGAATCGCGTGCGGGTTCTGGGAGGGGCCCCGCCTGCGAGGTGACCGGGAGGGAGAGTGACGGGGTGCGCAGAGCTGCGGGGTGTGTGGCCCCGGCGAGACCCGCTCGGGAAGCAGACGTGAGCACCTGCCCGTGTGCACCGGGGTCGGGAGGGGAGGACGCAGAGCGCGGCCGCTTTACCCGGCGCCCCGCACCCGGCGCGGCCCCCGTCGGGCCCCAGCTGGGCCGTCCGAGGCTGCGCGCCCAGCTCCCGCTCTCCCTCAGGCTCGGCCCCCTGGATGTCGCCTCCCCCGGCCGGCGGAGACCTCCCCTGCTCTCCGGGCGACTCACTGCCCTTCGGGCCCTGCCTCTCGCCCCTGCCGGACCCGCGGGCCCTGCCGCCGCCGCCGCCGCCTCGCCCTGGGGACGCGCCCCCGGCGGCGGAGCAGTACTGGCGGGAGCTGGCCGACCAGAACCAGCGGGCGCTGGGGGACGCGCTGGTGGAGAACAACCAAGTAGGGCCCGGCCGGCGGCCACGACCCTGGGGGCGGGCGGAGGGTGGGGATGTGTCGGGACCTCGGGACCGGGACCCAGGCGGCTCCCGGGGCTGCTCTTGCTCCTGGGCTCCCCCTCAGTGTCCAGCCCCGCCCGGCTCTCCAGGGCCGCGGCATTCGGGAGCCCCCCTGTGCGGGACGGGTGTCCCCGTCCAGTGCCCCTCGCTGAGCGAGTCCTGGCCGGCGAGGGAAGGGCTCGTCGGAGCTGCCCGCGCCCAGGGGCGGAGGGGCGTGGGGCCGAGAGCGCACTATGTTAGAGTCACAGCAGAGAACTCGGCTTCTCGCCGGTGTGAATGCCCCGGGGTGGACTCGCGCAGCGCCTTCACCGGGGCCCCTCCCGCAGCTGCACGCGACGCTGACCCAGAAGCAGGAGGAGATCGCATCGCTCCGGGAGCGCAACGTGCGGCTGAAGGAACTTGCCAGTCGGACCCGGCACCTGGCGTCGGTGCTGGACGTAAGCGGCGTGAGAGCGGGCGCCGCGGGCGGGCGGGCGGGCGGTCGGGACGATCTGTGCACCTGCCCCGCTTCCAGCGTCGGGCCCGGCTGGTGGAGGACGGAGAGGCCCGTGGGGAGCCCGCCGAATCCCTGTCCGGGGGCACAGGTGCGCCCAGGTGCCGTGCGCCCCGGGCAGCCCCCCAGCTGTCGGAGCCGGCCCGGGAGAGCACGCTGGCCCCAGGGGGCCCCTCCGTCTTTTGCAGAAGCTGATGATCACGCAGGCCCCGGAGGGCGGGGAGCCCTGCCTGCCCAAGGCCGCAGCCAAGAGGAGCCTGGAGGAGCTGCTGGGCGCCACGGGGCCGGACTGCGCGCACGTAGACGCCCTCCTGCGGGACCTTTCCGAGCGCTGCGAGGAAGCTCTGCGCAGTCGCGACCCGAAGCGCCTCCGCCTGCAGCCGGAGCCCGGGGGCCTGGCCTGCCGGCCCGGGCTCCTGCACGGCGCCTTCCGGGGGCTGCGCACCGACTGCAGCCCGCGCGCGCCCGACCTGAGCCGCGGGGAGCTGGAGGAGGGCGGCTCCTTCTGCACCCCCATCCGCAGCCACGGCACCATCCGCACCCTGTCTTTCCCCCAGGGCAATGCCTTCACCATCCGGACGGCCAGCGGGGGCTACAAATTCCGCTGGGTCCCCAGCTGAGCCTCGTTCCGCAGGAGCGGATCCCCGACGGGCGCGCTGCAGAGTTCTGGTGCAGATGCTCTAGTCCCGCCCCTTCCACAGCGGGCCGCGTGCCTGGATGTGCGACCATGAACTCGCGCGCAGCAGCCGAGCAGCTTCAGCCGGTGACACTGTGCGCTTTAGAGCCGGAGGGGCCTCGCCACGTGGCTGTTTTCTAATGGGAAGGTGCCCTGGCTTCGTGAGGGAAGTGGAGGTTCCGAGGGGAAGTCATTTCATCAGGAAACACGGGACGGAGCGCCGGCCAGGCGCGTCCCTGGGACTCAGCCCCGGCCCGAGGCTCTGTGACGTTTGGCACTTCTCTCCGGAGGCCGGAACAGAAGGAGGAGCGCCCCCTCCACTTCTCTGCGGCTACAGGCCGTCCCATTGGAACGTGGATGGTAAATGTTTATGGTAATTTTACACACAGCGTTGTCTAAACAGAAGAGCCACAGGGAACCTTTAAGAAACGTAAGCTGTTTGAAGAACGTGCATATCCCACATGGAAGTGTTCATATTTTTGGCCAGAAACCAAGTGTGGAAATCTCTGCAGAAGTAAAACTATGTGGACCCCATGGGTAGAGTGGGGCACGCCTTCACCTAACACCCATTTTGCTGTGACCCCTTCTTAGAAAAACATACATGCTAGGCAGCGCCTGCCCTGTGACTGCTCTTCTGTCCCTTTGTGTGGCTTCCTTTTCCTTCTCTGTTTTGAAATGATGTGAGTAGCCATGTAACCCAGTTCTTAATGTGGGGGTGCTTGTGTTGGGGCTCAGCTACCCACTGAGCACAGGGCTCAGGTGACGGGAGCTGGGCAGGGGCAGAACCGGCTCCTCCAGTTCGCCCGAGTGCTGTTATCTGTATTTAGCCATTCAGAAGGAAAAGTGATAAAAAGAGACCACATTTCCTCATATTTTGTCTAACAAATGAACTTAAAATACACACTGGATGGCTCAGAATTCGTATCAGCTCAACTATAATGTTAACACGTTCAGGACTAGAAAAAAAAAAGTCCTTACCTTGTCCCAAGAAACAAACACAGCTTGTCACTCCTTGATTGGTGTTTCCACAATGCATTAACTTCAGTGATTGAAAAGTTAAAAATCTTATATGCATGTTTTCTATTTGCCTTATGCCAGGATTTTTTAAAAACACATTTCTTGCTGCCATTTAGATTACAGACCTATAATTGTTATGTTGGCCATTGGCAGCTCCACTGCTTAAGCATCTTCCATTTCTTGGGGGGCAGGGGGTCGTGGGGAGCAGCTCTCCTGTGAACTAGTGGCAGAAATGACCAGCTTTGCATTATTTAGCTGTAGCTGAGTTTTAAAAATCAGATTTGTCCATCCATTGCATGTTACTGAGAATCTCGCTAATACAGATACGAAGGAAAGAGCAGATACTAAGGAAACAGCGAGAGAAATACTAAGGAAACAGCGAGAGAAATACTATGGGATATATAAACCCGTGAAGGAGAGGGAGGCGAGTTCTCAGCGGAGGCGACTTTAACGAAACCCCAGAGGCTGGTGCTTAAACAGCACATTTATTCTCCTAGATCCGGGTGCTGGAAGCACAGGCCAGAGGCCGGCTCAGGGCTGTGATGAGGGATCCTCTCCTTGGAAGGGCACAGCATGGGGACTCCACCCTAGGGCCTGTCTAACCCTAACCACCATCACATTGCGGGTGGGGCTTGACCTCTGACTTGCGGGGCACAAGCCTTAGGGTTTCAGCAGAGAGGATGTCAGGGGCAGGTGATTGGGTAGGTAGGGTGGGCTCAGGGAAGCTCCCCTGACAAAGAGACGCTTGAGAAGTGACCCGAGGAAGCGAGGGAATGAGTCTTCTGGTGTCTGAGGGTCCAGCGTCCAGGCAGAGGTGTGTGTGTGTGTGTGTGTGTGTGTGTGTGTGCGCGCGCGCGCACGCAGGGAGGGTGTGCCCGACCGTTTGAGAAAAGCAAGGAGGCTTGTGTGGCTAGAACTGAGTGAGTGAGGGGAAATGAGAACATTGGGTAGAAGAGAAAGCCTTTCTTTAAAAGTTGATTCTGGAGAGAGGATGGGGCGGGGGGGAGAGAGAAACATCAGTGTGTTGTTCCACTTGTTATGCCTTCATCGGTGGAACCTTGTATGTGCCCTGACTAGGACGGAACCCACTTTGGCGTATAGGGATGACATTCTAACCAACTGAGCTACCAGAGCAATGAGGACTTTGTTCTGAGAGGAAAACCATTAGAGGCTTTTGGCCAAAAGTTTATGTGATCATATTTCCATTTTAGTTGGAGTATTCTGATTTCTTTGGGACAATTGGAGTGGGGTGGGCATGGAGAGCAGGGTGGAAGCAGAGAACCCATTTGAGGACAGCTGGATAAGAGAGGTGAGGGATAATCCTGAGTCATGCCAAGATAGCGGTGGCAGGTAGAACAGCAGTCCCCCAAGGATGTCCATGCTCTGATTTCTGGTGGTTGAACCTGGAATTCAGGGGAGAGGTTGCAGCTGAGACAGCAGTGTGTGTGTGGCATTCAAGGCCTGTAGAGGGCCGCCAGGGAGGCACCTAGGCATTTTCTTATAATTCTTGTCAGCTGAACTCAGAGCTTAGGCAGAGCCACGCCCTGGGAACATGCTTCCCCGATAAGGCTGGACATGTTAATCAGGCAGGGGCGGAACTAGATATGTAAATCTAGGGCTTTAAAATAAACCTGCTGCGTGGCTCAGCCGCTTTTTGCCGCCTCTCCATCAGAGAGGATGGCGCCCACCTGGCCCCAGCTTACAATCTATTTCTGCGTCTTGGTCTTTCTTTAATTTCTTAATCCCCAGCTCCTCCACTCAGCAAATGGACTGTTTCCTTTTCCATGCGGGACATGGAAAAGAGAGAAACAGCCCCCCACATTTGGCGCCCCCAAACAGGGACTGAGTACGGAGGCAAAAGAAGAAAGCGAGGGGGTCACTCCCAGAAGCGTGTGCACACAGATTTAAAGGAATAAGGTAAGGGGAGTGTATTGTTGTGAATTGATATGAAATAGCTAGGTGTAAAACGTGGGTAATCCTCAAAAAAAAAAATGCTTTAAACTATGCTCTGTTAATTGTAGTCAAATTCTCGATTTCTTTCTTAAGCTTTGTTGATGAAACCTGGGAAAAGGTTAGAAAGCAGTTGTGTGACCAATACTCAGCAAAATGTCCAGAGAAAATTCCTATTTTAATTGGTGATGGCCTTGATTCGGCACAGGAGAGTTTAAGAATGTCTAAGTGGGGTGCAGCCATGGCCTTACAGCCTGGAGTGGGAGGGTACGAGTCTCTAAGAATACCATCTGCACCTCCTCTGCCTCCACGTGTAAACTACTTGTAACCAAGTAGAAAAGGATTAAAGGAATTTCTCAGCAACTGCCAATGATTCTTTATCTTAGAAAATCTTTTCTTTCCTTAAAAAAATAAAAATAAGTAAAAATTGAAAAATAAATATAATAAAAAGAGTAAATGCCAGACCATTACTGAATCTTCCCCCTAAGAAACGAGGTGGGGAATCTCACGTGGCCATCCAATATGGACGTCACTCCCCAAGAAAGCCACTTCTTCGCCTCATCTTCGCCATCTTTATCTTTTCCAGCTAATGACTTAAAGCTTTTTACAAATTCATAAATGCATCTGGGATTTCTGTGCACATGTAAAGGGAGAAGGCCAGTTTAAAAACGAGTGCGCATAGTTTTGAGCTGATCTTGACCTTTTGCTGTGTACAGAATAAAAACCCGGGACTGTTTTGGCCTTAAAAATGGCGGAGATGAACCTGAGAAAAGTATTGAGATTTATAATATTGAAATGTTGATCTGAGTATGCCTAATATGAAGTCTAGATGATAGAAGTTAATCTATTAATTGAAAATGCCTTATATTTTATTTGAAATGTATCCTTAAATGTAAAAGTCTCTTTTTTTGCCATTAAAAAAGTTTAAAGTTACACCCTTTTTTTAATGGAGGGAGGGGTAGACATGCCCTTCTCCTAGCATTCAGGTAATCCAATTCCCGCCAGCAGCCATCTTTAGGAATGTTAATTTGCATTTCAATGGCTACACCTTTTGCTAGCGACCTTCCCAGAAAAGGTCAAGCAGCCAAAAGGTGGCTCCTTTGAAATCAGCTTTCCACCAGTAGTCATTTTGTAATACCTACAAGTTCGCTTCTCAGTTTCCCCGCGCAGAAAAAATATGGTTTAAAGTTAATTATTAGATTTCAATATTTATTCTTAAAAATATAAAAGTGTAGTCAATCAAAGAACTGCTAATATTTGACTTGTAAGCTCTGAAAGTTTAAAGTGCAAATTGAATCGGGAGAAATTAAATATCTAATGTATAACTTGTTTTTGAAAAAATAAAGTGTGTTTTCTCTTAAATGATTAGGAATTCAAAATATGTTATGTCTTGGTCTGATTTAAAAAAGAGGATTAATTTTATGATCTCAACTGAAAATTTTTTAATACAAAAACCAGTTTAAATTTGATTGATATTCTTTAAGATAATTATAGAGGGTATATACAGCTAATGAGATTTCTGTTTGTCTACAATATAATGTTGGTCATCTATCTTTTAGGGGTTTTGGTTTGCTCTATCAAAGAACAATGTAGACAGCGGCCACTTTGAGCTGCCTGACTTGGCAGCCGCCATGTCGGCCGCATGGCTCACTGCGCCCCTGGGGGCCGCCATCTTGAAACAGCAAAAGCCCCTCCCTCTGATTTAGTCAAACACCAAAGGAGTGTCTGCTCACTAAGGCAGGCTGGGATTTCAGGGGTGGAGTTTTAAGGCGGAGTTTTACTGCGGAAATGCAGATGGGGCAGAAAGTGTGCTTGCCTCACGAATTTATTTAATACTATTTTTAAGAAAATATTTTTAATACTTAATAATTAGCGATCACGGTCTTAATATAATTTCAGTAGTATGATAGACCAATGTTTTAAGCAGTTGGCTTATAAGGGCCGACAATAGAGCTCGTATTTCTTTTTTTTTTTTATATATATATTTTTTATTGATTAAGATATTACATATGTGTCCTTGTCCCCACGTTACCCTCTACCCCCCACCCCCCCCACCCCCGCTCATGCCCTCACCCCCCCGTTGTCCATGTCCATTGGTTAGGCCTATATGCTTGCATATAAGTCCTTTGGTTGATCTTTCCCCCATACCCCCACCCTCCCCTACCTTCCCTCCAAGTCCCGACAGTCCAATCAATGCCTCTCCGTCTCTGGATCAGTCCTTGTTCATCAGCTTATGTTGTTCATTATATTCCACAAATGAGTGAGATCCTGTGGTATTTATCCGCTCTCAAGTTCCATCCATGCTGTGGCAAATGGTAAGAGTTCCTTTTTCTTCTTCCTCTTCTTAAAGAATACCTTTCAGCATTTCATATAATGCTGGTTTGGTGGTGATGAACTAACTCCTTTAGCTTTTTCTTATCCGTGAAGCTCTTTATCTGGCCTTCACTTCTGAATGATAGCTTTGCTGGATAAAGTAATCTTGGTTGCAGGTTCTTGCTATTCATCACTTTGAATATTTCTTGCCAGTCTCTTCTGGCCTGCATGGTTTCTGTTGAGAAATCAGCTGACAGTCGTATGGGTACTCCCTTGTAGGTAACTGACTGTCTTTCTCTTGCTGCTTTTAAGATTCTCTCTTTATCTTTTGCTCTTGGCATTTTAATTATGATGTGTCTTGGTGTGGTCCTCCTTGGATTCCTTTTGTTTGGGGTTCTCTGCGCTTCCTGGACTTGTAAGTC